TCGACGCAGCGACCGATGGCTACTGTACAGTCAGGAGGCAAGTGGGAACCATCTCGCACGTCAGCGATAGTCACCAGCTTCTCTTTGGCGCAGACCTCCGGGGAATGCAGATCCTGGACGCCGTCGGCTCGGAGGACCACTGGAAGGTCGCGCGCCTGTACGACGGCAGCCACTGGGGCGCGGCGGAGCCAGTGCTGGCCACGTTCATCCAGGCTCTCGGGGAGGGGTGCCAGGCGCTGGAGTTCGACGCGCGCCTGGTGCCCTACCGAGTCACTGGGGCGGACATACACATCAGCTTCCAGAGGGTCGGCGAGGTGCGGATGGCCAAGAGTCGGGGACACGCAAGACCCGAGTAAGCCGGAACTCGGGTTTGCCGACTTTTTTTTTGACGAGCGCGTCCTGGATTTTGACGGTCCAGTTTTCGTGGGATGCCTGCAGCGGGAGCTCGCGTCAATTTTCAGATTGGGCCTCGTCATTTTTATGATGGCCCCGTCGGGCCAACCCGAGTCCCCCGTACCCGAGTCTTACGTCTCCCCGAAAGAGGGGCCTCGCCGAGGAGGCCGCGGGCCCCGAGGGGCCGGGCCCCTCCGGCGCCGGCGCGCTCGGCTGCGGGCGCCCGCGCTCGGAGGGCCGGGATGCCGGCCGCCTGCTCTGTCCCTCGCCAGCTTTGCTGGGCCTGTTTCCACCGCCACCACCACAAGTTGGAGGGGGGAAGGAGGTGGAGGAGGAGGAGGACGAGGAGGAGGAGGAGGAGGAGGAGGAGGAGGAAGAGGAGGAGGACGACGAGGAGGAGGAGGGGGAGGAGGAGGAGGAGGAGGGGGGGGAAGGAGGAGGACGAGGAGGAGGAGGAGGAGGACCTCTTCCCCCTCCTACTTGTGGTGGTGGCGGTGGAAAACAAGCCCACCAAGCTTTGCAAGATGGCGTGCGTGCACAGCTGGTGGCGGTGGATGAGGGCGAGCGCTCGCCGTTGCAGGACGGCGCGCCTGGCAGTGGCGCATCCCAGGGCGCTGCAGAGACGATAGAGGAGTTGCATATTTCATTCGATTCTGGCCACCCAAGCTACCTCATTAGCGATGGCGAGTGCAGCCGTCATCTGTTGCCCCGTCAGGGGCAGCTGGCACGCTGGTTCCCGCGCTCTGCGCGAGCCCAGGTCGAGAAGTGGATCACTGATGCAGTGAACAGCAGTGTCGAGCCTGGGGTGTGTTCAACGTATCTTGAACATTTTGAGCTTGTCATCCCCCCATCACCTGCGATCAAAGTCGTAGCAAAGCGAGCGTTCATCATAGCCGGGGACCCTGAGGAGAACGACGCAGGTGCACTCTCGTTACCAGCCACGTTGTGCTTGCAGAATGTGGTGATATCGCGGAGGCATCGTTACACTACCCGTGCCAGGACTGACTACATGCAGGATCTATCCACAATCGCGGAGGACTTGCATTCCGAGGTCGAGGATTCTTTATCGATGAACAGCAGTGAAGGTGTGAGCCCATCTGACAGCGCGTCGGTTGTCATGATGTAATTTCGCTAGCTCGCTCACCCAGAAGTTCAAGATGTAAGTGCAGAGGGAATCCTCGGAAGAGGCTCGAACGGCGGGGGGGCGGGGGCCCAGGATTATGTCGGGCGTGTCCCCCTACATGGGGATTTTCGATAAAAAATACCCCAAACATACACCAAAAAGGTGAAAAACATTCAGCTAACAGTCACCAGACTATGTTTGCCCTATTTTTTGATTTTTTTTTGGGGGTGTATTTCTTGTTTTTCGTCGAACGTCCCCCTGTAGGGGGATAGGCCCGACTTACGCCCAGGAGCTTGGCACCCGTCCCCTCCACTCGGGCCTCCGCCGGAAGACCGCCCGGCTACCGTCTCGTGCGCGGTGCGGTGCCCGTGGGGGGGCTATGGGGCTTTGGGCCTTTAGGGCTATGGGGCTATAGGGCTATAGGGCGATGTGGCCATAGGGATATAGGGCTAGAAGCCTTTAGGGCTATGGGGCTATAGGGCTACAGGGCTATAGGGGCTAAGGGCTATAAGGCTATTCGGGCTATAGGGCTATATACGGCTATAGGGCTTTAGGACCATAGGGCTATAGGGCTATAGGGCTATAGGGCTATAGGGCTATAGGGCTATGGGGCTATGGGGCTATGGGGCTATGGGGCTATTGGGCTATTGGGCTATTGGGCTATTGGGCTATAGGGCTATCGGAGGTGAGGGGGTGAGATCGAAGTGGAACGGCGAGCCCCCCACCGGGAAATCGGTTTCGGTTTCGTGTTCGTGCGTGCCGTGCATACACATATGTGTATGTGCATTCAGCTTCTTGCGGCAAACTCCACGCGTGGCCTTTTGTCTCAAGGTCGGCAGTTGAGTGCCACAAGGAGCCCCTCTCCCGACAGGGGCGTGGGCTTCGGCACGGAGAGGGGCCCCGCAGGAATGAATACGGAACCACTGTTGGGAGCAGGCAGGTGCCAGTTGCCCGCGGATGGGGCTGGATGCTGTGTTGCCTGGGGCTCCTCCTGGTACCGATCTTGGGCAACGACTTTGACAAACGAGTATTTGTGTTCACCTATAAGTCGGCGTGCGCTCTGGAAGTACTACGGTATCGTTGTGACGTGGTTTCTTATTATGGACATCTTCTACGGCCCGTCGAACACGTCACTCTCAGGTCACTGGTGGTGGCGTGGTGTGGTCTCCTTTTATCTGTCCGAGTATACCCTGGCACTGTTGTTACTGCGCCTTCCCGTGACGACGTTGAAGTCAGACGCGGTAGTGCTTACGTTTTCCACTCTTCAGGTGTTATGGTGTGCGGTGAGTCTACGAAAAGACTGGGTAAACACTTATCATTTAGGAAGCACGATCGCCGTAGGCTTGACGTACAAAGTTTTTCTGAGCCATGCTGCTGGTTTCCATTCTCTTCTCGTCATGGTTCATGCTATTTTCTGCTCAATGCTTGCGTGTGTCCTGCTCTCCAGTAGCATAGAGCTTGATGTCTTCTGCCAGATCGGAATGATCACGATTGTTATGACCCTTTTCGAATTGCTCTTGGCCTCGTATTTTCGCGAATTGAAGGGGCAGCTAGTCGCCATGCAGACTTTGCTCGACGCAGCGACCGATGGCTACTGTACAGTCAGGAGGCAAGTGGGAACCATCTCGCACGTCAGCGATAGTCACCAGCTTCTCTTTGGCGCAGACCTCCGGGGAATGCAGATCCTGGACGCCGTCGGCTCGGAGGACCACTGGAAGGTCGCACGCCTGTACGACGGCAGCCACTGGGGCGCGGCGGAGCCAGTGCTGGCCACGTTCATCCAGGCTCTCGGGGAGGGGTGCCAGGCGCTGGAGTTCGACGCGCGCCTGGTGCCCTACCGAGTCACTGGGGCGGGCATACACATCAGCTTCCAGAGTCGGCGCGTTGCGGATGGCAAGAGTGTTGGGGGAACGCAAGACCCGAGTAAGCCGGAACTCGGGGTTGCCGACATTTTTTGGACGAGCGAGTCCTGGATTTTGACGGTCTGGTTTTCGTGGGATGTCTGCAGCGGGAGCTCGCGTCAAATTTCAGATGGGGCCTCTTCATTTTTATGATGGCCCCGTCGGGTCAACCCGAGTCCCCCGTACCCGAAGTCTTACGTCTCCCGAAAGATGGGCCTCAGCCGGGAGGCCGCGGGCCCCGAGTGGCCGGGCCCCTCCGGCGCCGGCGCTGCTCGGCTGCGGGCCCCGCGCTCGGACGGGGCCCCGGATGCCGGCCGCCTGCTCTGTCCTCGCCAGCTTTGCTGGTCTGTTTTCCTACCGCCACCACCACAAGTTGGGAGGGGTGAAGGAGTGGAGGAGGAGGAGGGAACGAGGATGAGTGAGGAGGATGAGGATGAGGAGGAAGAGGAGGAGGCGCGGAGGAGTCTGTAGGTGTGAAGGTCTTAGTGAGATGAGTGTGTGTCCAATGTAGGATTCCTATGTATACGAGGAGGAGGAGGACCTCTTCCCCCTCCTACTTGTGGTGGTGGCGGTGGAAAACAAGCCCACCAAGCTTTGTAAGATGGCGTGCGTGCACAGCTGGTGGCGGTGGATGAGGGCGAGGGCTCGCCGTTGCAGGACGGCGCGCCTGGCAGTGGCGCATCCCAGGGCGCTGCAGAGACGATAGAGGAGTTGCATATTTCATTCGATTCTGGCCACCCAAGCTACCTCATTAGCGATGGCGAGTGCAGCCGTCATCTGTTGCCCCGTCAGGGGCAGCTGGCACGCTGGTTCCCGCGCTCTGCGCGAGCCCAGGTCGAGAAGTGGATCACTGATGCAGTGAACAGCAGTGTCGAGCCTGGGGTGTGTTCAACGTATCTTGAACATTTTTTGCTTGTCATCCCCCCATCACCTGCGATCAAAGTCGTAGCAAAGCGAGCGTTCATCATAGCCGGGGACCCTGAGGAGAACGACGCTGGTGCACTCTCGTTACCAGCCACGTTGTGCTTGCAGAATGTGGTGATATCGCGGAGGCATCGTTACACTACCCGTGCCAGGACTGACTACATGCAGGATCTATCCACAATCGCGGAGGACTTGCATTCCGAGGTCGAGGATTCTTTATCGATGAACAGCAGTGAAGGTGTGAGCCCATCTGACAGCGCGTCGGTTGTCATGATGTAATTTCGCTAGCTCGCTCACCCAGAAGTTCAAGATGTAAGTGCAGAGGGAATCCTCGGAAGAGGCTCGAACGGCGGGGGGGCGGGGGCCCAGGATTATGTCGGGCGTGTCCCCCTACATGGGGATTTTCGATAAGAAATAAATGCCCCAAACATACACCAAAAAGGTGAAAAACATTCAGCTAACAGTCACCAGACTATTTTTGCCATATTTTTTGATTTTTTTTTGGGGGGGTATTTCTTGTTTTTCGTCGAACGTCCCCCTGTAGGGGGATAGGCCCGACTTACGCCCAGGAGCTTGGCACCCGTCCCCTCCACTCGGGCCTCCGCCGGAAGACCGCCCGGCTACCGTCTCGTGCGCGGTGCGGTGCCCGTGGGGGGGCTATGGGGCTTTGGGCCTTTAGGGCTATGGGGCTATAGGGCTATAGGGCGATGTGGCCATAGGGATATAGGGCTAGAAGCCTTTAGGGCTATGGGGCTATAGGGCTACAGGGCTATAGGGCTATAGGGCTAAGGGCTATAAGGCTATTCGGGCTATAGGGCTATATACGGCTATAGGGCTTTAGGACCATAGGACCATAGGGCTATAGGGCTATAGGGCTATAGGGCTATAGGGCTATAGGGCTATGGGGCTATGGGGCTATGGGGCTATGGGCTATTGGGCTATTGGGCTATAGGGCTATCGGAGGTGAGGGGGTGAGATCGAAGTGGAACGGCGAGCCCCCCACCGGGAAATCGGTTTCGGTTTCGTGTTCGTGCGTGCCGTGCGTGCGAGGCGAAGCTGCGTGGGCGGGCGAGAAAAAGTCTCCTGTGGCTGAGGCGCGGCCGGACCAAATGTTTCTCTTCCGGGGCGCGGGGCCCCGCGGTGTCCCGCCGGTGTCCCGCGGTGTCCTCCTGTGGCTGAGGCGCGGCCGGACCAAATGTTTCTCATCCGGGGCGCGGGGCCCCGCGGTGTCCCGCCGGTGTCCCGCGGTGTCCCGCGGTGTCCCGCGGTGTCCCGCGGTGTCCCGCCGGTGTTCCGCGGTGTCCCGCGAGGATGATGATGATGATGATGATGATGATGATGATGATGATGATGATGATGATGATGATGATGATGATGATGATATGATGATGATGGTTTCCCGATGAAGATGATGATGTTGATGATGGTGTCGATGATGATGATGATGATAGTGCCCCGATGATGAGGATGATGATGCTCATGATGATTATGTTGATGATGATGACGATGATGGTGTCCCGATGATGATGATGATGATTATGATGATGATGGTGATGATGATGATGATGATTCCGATGATGTTGGTGATGATGATGCTGACGTTGATGATGATGATGATGTCTATGATGATGATGATGATGATGGTAATGATGATGATGATGATGATGACGGTGCCCTCATGATGATGACGATGTTGGTGATGATGTTGATGATGATGATGTTGATGATGATGATGATGATGGTGATATGATGATGATGGTGTCCCGATGAAGATGACGATGTTGATGATGGTGTCGATGATGATGATGATGATGATGATAGTGCCCCGATGATGAGGATGATGATGCTCATGATGATTATGTTTATGATGATGACGATGGTGGTGTCCCTATGATGATGATGATGATGATGATGATGATGATGATGATGATGATCATGATGGTGATGGTGATGGTGATGATGATGATGATTCCGATGATGTTGGTGATGATGATGTTGATGGAAATGGTGTCCCAGCGATAATCATGTTGATGATGATGATGTTGATGATGTTTATGGTGTCCCGATGATGATGCTGATGATGATGATGGTGATGATGATGATGGTGATGATGATGGTATCCCGATGATGATAATGTTGATAATGGCGATGTTGGTGATGATGTTGCTCATGATTCTGATGGTGCCCCAATGATGATGATGTTGTTGATGATGATGATGTCGATGATGATGATGCGATGATCATGATGATGATGGTCTCCCGGGGATGATGACGATGTTGATGACAATGTTGATGATGAGAACGATGGTGATCATGATGGTGTCCCGATTATGATGATGATTCTGATGATGCTGCTGCTGATGATGACGATAACTGTGTCCCGATGATGATGATGTTGATGATGAGATGATGATGGTGGTGATGATGCTGATGTTGTCCCGATGATGATGCTGACGTTGATGATGATGATGTCTATGATGATGATGATGATGATGATGATGATGATGATGACGGTGCCCTCATGATGATGACGATGTTGGTGATGCTGTTGATGTTGATGATGTTGATGATGATGATGATGATGGTAATGATGATGATGATGATGATGATGATGATGATGATGATGATGATGATGATGATGATGATGATGATGATGATGATGATGATGATTACGTTGATTGTGAGAGCGATTGTGATATCGATAGTGAGATCGATATTGAGACCGAGGGGGGGATACCCGTCGGTGGTTGACAGCAGGCATTTTTGGACCCCCGGACCCCACCAGTCTGCTGTGAGCGCCCTCCTGCTTCCGTGGTCGAGCGGCTTCGCCTCCTCCGTCCTCCTTGAGGGCCGGAGGGAGCCCGATCTGTACTTCCAACGCCTTCCCATCTCAGGCGCCTCGTGCACGCCTCGTGGGCGCTCCGTGTGCCGGAGGGGCGTGCCGAGGGGTCGCCGGGCGTGCCCGCCCGCGGCCGCCTCGTGGGCGCCCCGTGGGCGCTCTGGTGGGAGCTGCGAGGGCGGAGCGCGGCGAGGGTTCGCCCGGCGCCCGCGCGCGGCGGCCCCCGTGGGCGCCTCGTGGGCGCCCCCGTGCGCGGGAGGGGCAGGCCGAAGTGTCGCCGGGTGTCCGCCCGCGGCCGCTCGTGGGCGCCATCGTGGGCGCCTCGTGGGCGCCTCGTGGGCGCCTCGTGGGCGCCTCGTGGGCTCACATCGCGTGCGGCAGGGTCGCGTCGTGTGGAGCGACGGCGACCCCGCCGCTCGAAGTCAGCGTCGAGCGCAGCTCTGGCGACCCAGAAGCGGTCGATGCTGAACGATCTGATGTTTCGGAAGCGGCCGATCGTTTGAGGTTGGACGATCCCCGCGGTGTCAGGAACCAACGCCAAAGTCAGCACGACACGAACCTGCCGTAGCTTGCATTACATAACGTGTACCGTGCAGCTTGCACCACGTAGTTTTGACCACAACGATTGAACCGTAGAGCTTGCATCACATAGCTTGCGCCATATAGGCTGCGCCGCATAGCCTGCATCACATAGCTTTCACCACACAATTTGCATCGCACAGCGCTCGCATTACGCACCACATAGCTTGCGCCAGATGCCTTGCGAATCCGCATTGCAAGATGACAAACGTGTGGTACATACACATATGTGTATGTGCATTCAGCTTCTTGCGGCAAACTCCACGCGTGGCCTTTTGTCTCAAGGTCGGCAGTTGAGTGCCACAAGGAGCCCCTCTCCCGACAGGGGCGTGGGCTTCGGCACGGAGAGGGGCCCCGCAGGAATGAATACGGAACCACTGTTGGGAGCAGGCAGGTGCCAGTTGCCCGCGGATGGGGCTGGATGCTGTGTTGCCTGGGGCTCCTCCTGGTACCGATCTTGGGCAACGACTTTGACAAACGAGTATTTGTGTTCACCTATAAGTCGGCGTGCGCTCTGGAAGTACTACGGTATCGTTGTGACGTTGTTTCTTATTTTGGACATCTTCTACGGCCTGTCGAACACGTCACTCTCAGGTCACTGGTGGTGGCGTGGTTTGGTTTCCTTTTATCTGTCCGAGTATACCCTGGCACTGTTGTTACTGCGCCTTCCCGTGACGACGTTGAAGTCAGATGCGGTAGTGCTTACGTTTTCCACTCTTCAGTTGTATTGGTGTGCGCTGAGTCTACGAAAAGACCTGGTAAACACTTATCTTTTAGGAAACACGTTCGCCGTAGGCTTGACGTACAAAGTTTTTCTGAGCCATGCTGCTGGTTTCCATTCTCTTCTCGTCATTGTTCATGCTATTTTCTGCTCAATGCTTGCGTATGTCCTGCTCTCCAGTAGCATAGAGCCTGATGCCTTCTGCCAGATCGGAATGATCACGATTGTTATGACCCTTTTCGAATTGCTCTTGGCTTCGTATTTTCGCGAATTGAAGGGGCAGCTAGTCGCCATGCAGACTTTGCTCGACGCAGCGACCGATGGCTACTGTACAGTCAGGAGGCAAGTGGGAACCATCTCGCACGTCAGCGATAGTCACCAGCTTCTCTTTGGCGCAGACCTTCGGGGAATGCAGATCCTGGACGCCGTCGGCTCGGAGGACCACTGGAAGGTCGCACGCCTGTACGACGGCAGCCACTGGGGCGCGGCGGAGCCAGTGCTGGCCACGTTCATCCAGGCTCTCGGGGAGGGGTGCCAGGCGCTGGAGTTCGACGCGCGCCTGGTGCCTTACCGAGTCACTGGGGCGGACATACACATCAGCTTCCAGAGGGTCGGCGAGGTGCGGATGGCCAAGAGTCGGGGACACGCAAGACCCGAGTAAGCCGGAACTCGGGTTTGCCGACTTTTTTTTTGACGAGCGCGTCCTGGATTTTGACGGTCCATTTGTCGTGGGATGCCTGCAGCGGGAGCTCGCGTCAAATTTCAGATTGGGCCTCGTCATTTTTATGATGGCCCCGTCGGGCCAACCCGAGTCCCCCGTACCCGAGTCTTACGTCTCCCCGAAAGAGGGGCCTCGCCGAGGAGGCCGCGGGCCCCGAGGGGCCGGGCCCCTCTGGCGCCGGCGCGCTCGGCTGCGGGCGCCCGCGCTCGGAGGGCCGGGATGCCGGCCGCCTGCTCTGTCCCTCGCCAGCTTTGCTGGGCCTGTTTCCACCGCCACCACCACAAGTTGGAGGGGGGAAGGAGGTGGAGGAGGAGGAGGACGAGGAGGAGGAGGAGGAGGAGGAGGAGGAGGAAGAGGAGGAGGACGACGAGGAGGAGGAGGGGGAGGAGGAGGAGGAGGAGGGGGGGGAAGGAGGAGGACGAGGAGGAGGAGGAGGAGGACCTCTTCCCCCTCCTACTTGTGGTGGTGGCGGTGGAAAACAAGCCCACCAAGCTTTGCAAGATGGCGTGCGTGCACAGCTGGTGGCGGTGGATGAGGGCGAGCGCTCGCCGTTGCAGGACGGCGCGCCTGGCAGTGGCGCATCCCAGGGCGCTGCAGAGACGATAGAGGAGTTGCATATTGCATTCGATTCTGGCCACCCAAGCTACCTCATTAGCGATGGCGAGTGCAGCCGTCATCTGTTGCCCCGTCAGGGGCAGCTGGCACGCTGGTTCCCGCGCTCTGCGCGAGCCCAGGTCGAGAAGTGGATCACTGATGCAGTGAACAGCAGTGTCGAGCCTGGGGTGTGTTCAACGTATCT